CTTAGTCGGCGCTCTACTCGCTCGTGACGCATACGAGCAGATAAGTTAATAAATAGCGAGTCCGATAAAAAGAACCAGTCCCCGGCAGCATTCCGAGCCTGAGCCTCGATATTCCGCGATTATGCTCCTCCCGCCGACAACGCGATAACAACGACTCCCACCTTATCTCAATAAATCAGCCCGATATCCTAGGCGCCTAAACCGCGCACCGTCGGATAGGTAAAAGAGAAAACGCTTTGTAACCGTTGCCCGATCAAGGCCAATGCGACTTTCCTGCGGTCGATCGGAGCACAATGGATTTTGGCATCGAGCCACGATTCGCCTCTTTTTCCCCTCTCGCTTCCGTCCTCCGCCCCCGCCGCCCTTTCCGAGCCCTTTATTTGCCGCGCCGTGCCTCGGTCCTCGGATCGGCTTTTTCTCCTCTTTATTTTCGACCACCCAATTAATCACGGTCACGTGCTCCGAAAGTTTCTCCCGCGTTTCTTTTTCTCCCGCCGGTGACGTCACGCCTCTACAGGGTGAGTCGAAGCCCCTCCTCGTCCCCGGTTTTCCCTCCGCTTCCTCGTTCCGCCAAAAAATATGCTACGGAATTTACGACCGTCCGAGCTACCGGTATATCTAATTGCAAGTTAATACGGCCGTTGCACCATCTTTCGCAACCGTCGAGCAAACGAAAACCCCGGTGAAGGGGTTGCCCAATTTGCCCCGCCAAGAACTATCGAATGCGCCTCGACATGCAAACGAGCATTCGGCGCGGTTTACCTCTTTTCGTTAAGGAATACCATTTTCCCGCCGGTCTTTGCCGTCCGTTTAACGCGATGCACTTCGCGGCGCAGCGAGACCAGCTGCACGATAGCCGTCCCACCCAGCAATGAGGGCCGCAATTGCCGCGAGAATTCATTCCGCGGCGTTTCGGCCGCGGATCGTCCAATTTCTTTCTTTCGAGACTTCCAAGTCGATCGAGCTCAATCGCGCGAGTAACCTCTCGGCGACGATTTTCCCGCGCTCATTGTCCGTCCCGAGAGAGGCGCCGATTAAAACGCGCTCTCTTTCGCAAACTCGTCAGTTGGCCGGGCGATAAACCCTTATCGCGACTCGTTAAACCAACGTGGCGGCCATTTATAGAAAGGCGTAAACGCCGGGAGGGAAATGGAGGAAGAGAGTCGGCCTCGACGGAGAAGAGACCCGGAGACTCGACGGTGACGCTTCAACCTTTAACGCGGTCTCGTTGAGTAACCGAGGAAGGAGAGAGACAGAGAAGAGAGGGAGGGAGGTGCGTAATGAGCCTTAGAAATTGCCACCGAGCCAAGCCGAGTGCGTCGGCATTGGGCAACGAGCGGTTTTCTACTTTCGAGCCCGTTCGGGCCTAAAATGGGCCTAATGGAGATTAAGGACCCGAAGCTTTCGAAATCTCGGGGCCGTTTAACGACGTTTTCGTTAACGCCAGGACGGCGAGGAGAACACTCGTCGCGGAAAAAATTAAATCGGCGTAAATCACGTCGGGACGCCTGGGAATTATTCCTCGGACGGGTCTCGGATGGCCGTTGAATAAAATCGAGAAAATGGGTTCCCGGTAGGGGATATTTCTTCTTCTTCTTTTTTTTTTCTTCTTTTCGGGGAAGAAAAGGGACGAGAGGACAATGTTCTTGCCGGCCAATTGACGGGAGGATCTCTCAGGGACGGGTCCTGGCCAAAAGGAAGAGCTCGAAGTTGCGCCGCTCTGGAGAACTCGTTCCGCGAGTCGCCTCTCTCCGTCTCTTTCTCTCCACCGCGGTTTCCCCTCGTTCCCTCTCTCTTGCTCTCTCGGTTGCGTCCGTCGAACGGGAGGAGTCCTCTAGAGTCGCGTGCTCGAATTCGCTCCCGAAGACTCCTCGAGACGCCGATGCTCCTCCTCCGAAACTTTCTTACGTATATCTTTTTTCTCTCTTTTCCATGGAATCACCGACGGAAATTAATTTCCCTCGAACAGAAGAATCTCTCGCGGAGTCCGGCGAAGACGCGACTCTTTCCCGCCTAACAACGGACGGCTCGACTCGATGCAGAAATGACCGTACCGGGCGCTCCCGTGGGCCGACTTCCGAACAGCCTATCTCGCCTCTCTCGGCTCTCGAGGACGAAATAATAAAGTCGGAGGATTTAAAGCGACACGTAGAGCTTCCCGTCACTCGGGCCGTGCTTTCGGAGCGGATTTACCGCACGCACGAGACGGCTGCATAAGAGAAATCCACACCCGCCAGGTGAATTTCTGCATGCACCTCGACGCGCTCCGCAGTGGGCCCGCCGGTTAAAATCCCCCTTATACCATTTTCTTTTTTTTTTTTACCATTTCTCGCATCCAAATACGACGTCACAACGACACACAGGCGTTTACGTCTCCATCGATCGGGAAAAAAAAAAATCTGCCGCGTCGGTTAGAAATCCTTCGGCCCAGATTTTCGGGGACAAAGAAGCCGGCGAAAATTCAGCTGGGCCTTATCAGGCCCATCGGTCCGATTTCCCACAATTTCGCCCGCATGGCGGCGTATATCAAGGAGCCCGGGCCATTAAGCGATCTACAAAATGCCCACCCTCTTCTCTCTCCGTCCCTTCGTAGTCGCGTGTTACTGAAATACGGGCACCTAAATTGATATAAATTGCCCCGAAGTGACGGAGGACAATAAAAAAATATTTATCCCTGCCTCGGCCACGAAGAGTCGCCGATGCTCTCCCCGCATCCCGTTGTCCATTTTGCCGCGCTCTCTCCGAAAATCGATCCTCCACCCCGGGAAATTTGGACGCCGATCGAGGCCGCGCCGACCGGCGATAACTTCCCCCGATATTCGCGTTATCCCCCGCTGCATTCTCCCGATCTCTATCCCGGCTATGTCCACTAACTGGGTTATAAATAGACGAATCGTGATCGGAGTGACGATCGATCCGTTCAGCGGTTTCGCTGAATCGCGCAACGCGCTCGGCTCTCTAATAATTCGAACCGGACGGAAGCGTTGCGAGATGGCAGGAAGTGACTTCCGCGTAGCAGATAATAACACGAACGGGATCGCTAAAGGTCGAGCGAAATCGACGCCGTCCGACGGGTTTCCCTTTCGGCGGGTTTCTCGTAATTGCTCTTTCGGATCTCTTCCTGGCACGACGAGGCCGCGACCTCGCGCTGCCCCGATGTAGAAAAAGAAAGAAAAAAGAAAATTCATTGAATCAAAGATATATATCTCGCCAGATTTTATAAAAAAATATATCTCTTTGGTACTATCGAAGGAGATATTTTTTTTCGTTCAATGAATTTTTCCCTTTTTTTACCCTAAGTGCGGAATCCCTCGATCCGCGACAGGGAACGATAATAGTCGAACGATTCCATGATTATTTCTTCTAAAAAAATATTCCACCCTCGCTCTTACCCCACTGGGAAAATTAATGGCCCTCGAGCACCCACTCGGTCGACTCAAGGAACGTAGCTCCAATACCGCCACGCGAGCAATAAAATCAATCGGCCGCGAAATGTGCACCTTCATTAGCATCCTGCGAATGGTGGTAAAATTGCTCCTTTACTAGGAATAAAAAAAATCATACAAGCGACCGAGTGTGAGAACAGGGCGTGCCGAAATAGTTGCGAGCGTTCCACTTAATCGCTCGTGTACCGATTTCTGAAATCCTTTCGAAAAACTTTTAATGCACCCCTTTATTGCACGAATGGTTACGCGGTACGCGGACAGTTGCGTCATTACGCCGCGTAAATTATGTCGTTTTTCAGGTAGCCGCGACGTTTGCATGCGAAATTCGGAAAAATGAATTCCATGGGCTGTCCGGGCGAAAAAAAGAAAACAAATCCCTTGTCGAGGTTTTATGAGTTTTCGGAGGTGGAAGAGGAACGTTAGACTTTTTGTATAGCGGATTCCGAGGAAACGAGTCTTACGTAAAGCGCGCTCTCTCTCGAGAGTGCGATCTCCCTAATGCCGCAGAAAGGGAATGTTTCCGGTCAGCGTAATTGCCGGTCACCTCGTGTATATATATATAATATCCCCTGTGTACGTATACGTTTATATATATATATATAATTTCTCAAAACCAAGAGGTCGGGGTAATGATAAATAATTCCTGGCGGGTAGTGGATCTACTTTTCTCGGGGATCTCGTTAAGTCCCGCCGTGGGACCGCTTCCGCAGCTCGAGAAATCGCTGGAAACTCGTCCCGAGAGGGAAAAGAAAGAACGAGGGAAGCTCTTCCAGGGGACCCGGGAGGAACCGTTTTTCTTGCCTCCGGCGAAGCGGACCGGGAGGAGAGTGAAACCGTTTCTTAATATGTCCTTATTCCATTACCCGGGCAGCAGCCTTCCATAAGCGACCTCTGGGCGCGGTGCCGATGTTACCGACAAATTGGCCAATGCCCACGGAGGCTCCGTACGCGTGAATTATCTATTACGAGAACCGTCATTATATAATAAGGGTGGGCGTAAAAAGAGAGCCGGATCCCGCGGCGAAACTCTACGGCAAGAGATATCCGGTAGCAGGACGCGATGAAAACGACGAGGGACCGTCGAAATTCGACTTTTGCGTGTCGGAAACGTTTACGGGCCGAAAGGCGCGCCCGGCGGTACCAAGATGGCGGCTCGCGTGCGCGCGCAGCCGCCCGTCCGCGCGGTTTCCGGCGGATCGTCGGATCGCGTGATCCCCCGATCGGGGAGACCCGGAGGATCAACCCGTAACCGCGGGGGTTGGCGACTTAAAGGTCCCTCTGGAATGTTTGGGCAGCCCTCGAGCGGGATGGACACCTGCGAGGATCTGCCTCGAAAAAAGGAAGCCTGACACGCCGCGGGGAAAAAGGAGGAGAAAATTGGGCGCATCCCGGAGGGGAGACCGGTTCGTCTGGTCTTTGATTTGAAGCCAAGTGTCGTCCCTTTTGCTTTTATTCCTCCGCCCTTCGCCCCCCTTCCGCTCGTCCCGGCGGTTTCCCCTCCCGTCCCCTCCCCCCCGAGCGACTCGAAGGTAACTTTTTACTGCAAGAGCTTACCGACGTTGCGGTTTCTCGCCATTTTCCGAAACCTGCTCCGGAAACCCCCGTGGACCTCGAACTTCTTGCGAGCCGTGAGAAAAATGATCAAGTGTGCCACGTCGTCGGTGAACTCGCGCGGTAAGGAGTCGAGGTCCTTCGACGCAGCGATTCCTCGAGGAAAGCCTTATCCTGGCTCGGTATGAACCTGCGGGTAGAGTTTCAACGGGTCGAAAAACCACAGAGTTATCGAAGTGCGAGGACGGAAGCTCCGCGTGTTTCGTGGACTCTTACCTTTACCGATGGAATGCCTCTCGCCGATGCGTAAGGGAGTCCTGACGAGTCCTGCCGTCGATAAGTCCGTTCCTGCCGTGCCGACCTTCGTCCTTCCCCCAGGATTCGGACGAGCTTCGGCGAAAGTGCACCCGGGCCCTGAAAAAATGGAGAAATTTCAATGATTTCCTCGACTTTATCCTCGAGACGCGATCTCTTCTGCGCGAAGAGGCGGATACCCCGACTCCTGCTGGGACCGACCGAGGGGGAGAAAAAAGGGACCAAGTAGCCGGTTAAAGGTACAAGCCGAGAGAGGCAAAAGGAGACCTGGAACCGAGAGGACACTTTCGGCAGGACGACCAGGACGAGACGATCGACCGCGTAATTAGTCCCGAGGAGGAAACATCGTTTGCAGAGAGATAAGAGAGATAAGAGAGAATCGGGACCGAGGAGCAAGACGAACGGATTATCGCGGTGCACGAATTAAGACGTGAATACGTTTTTACCGGGATTATTCCCCGAGTCACCGGCCGGCCACTTTTCGTGGGTTTAATTCCTGGTACGGATAATTCGAGGATAGAAGAACGCTCGGAAGAGGTAGCAAAGACCGGGGGCGATTCCGCGAAATTCTTAACGGGGAGGCCGACCAGGAATCCGACCAAGAAACCGAGCGACCGAGTAACCCAGGGAAAGTGACGTCCCCGTCGGTGCCAGGACGCGCGGGAAACTTGGCCGGCACCGGGGAACTATGGCGACTTTACGTAATCGAGTGTGTCGCAACTATCCATGAATGAAGTTCGGCGGGACGTTCGCAAGGATCGCTCGGACTCGCCACGATCGCTCAATGGCCGCCTTCGCGCCCTGAGCGACGCCGAGCCGACTTCCACTTACACCTGGCGGTTATCCCGACCAATCGGCCGGGAATAAGCGACGCCAAGTTACCTCGTTGCCTACATACCGTCCTTTCAGAAAAATCCCACGCACGTTCCGCGCCGGCCGGGAAAATAACGGTGGATATGCCGCGGACGATTCGCGCCGAGGTCGCCAAGCGTCCATCCGCCGTTTCCACTTGGGTTTCGCAAGTCCCCTGAAACCATGCATATTCATTCACGCTATGGCGAGTATTAATCCGCACCGCCTGGATCTTTTACGAGTCTGCGAGATAATAAACCGATACGCCAGCCAGAGACTAGATTCTATTCGACCTTACCCACGATAGGCTCCGAGTCGTCCGGCGAAGAGGTTATCGCGCGTCGGCAGGCGGCCGCCATTTTCCACCGACTCGTTCCGGCTAATTTCTTCAGGAAACACTCGAAACCTTGGCCCGAGTGTTAAGTATGTCCGCGATATTTACTCGGGTTACCGGGGCCGGCGACTGTGCGACGTCGTCTACCTGCAATTTGAGAAAAAAATTCAGACCCGGGGAGGAATTAAAATTGGCGCGTCTTTGCGTCAGCCCCGGAACGACATCTCGCGTCCGTGGAAACGGGTAACTCTACCTTATCTGTATTTATGTCGTTAATCGCTTCAGCCTTACCGACTTCCCCTCGTTCTATGAGAATATACGTAAAACCTTGGCGAGTACAATGGCTTCGCCGGTACACGCATCGAACGACGCTCCACGTTACGTTTAGTACAATAGAAAACGCAGCGGAGTTGAGTACAGGTCGAACACGAATAAATGGATGGGAATACATATGTATCTATGGATACTAACATTGTTTCTTTCTCCGAATACGTGTATCTATTCTCAATGCGGAATGAAGGCATCCATTCATGCATTCAAATGATTTCGAGATAAGGTACTGCTTGTAACTTTTTTCCAAACACTATTTTCCCTGGCTGCTTTTATGTATCCACGTCTGGCTTTACAAATCGTATTTATAAGCTATCGGTTTGTGGAGTCGGACACGGACGTGATTTGAAATTTTAATAAACGTATTTATTCCTAGACTCTGTAATATATTTTTCCTTGCTTCCCTCGACCGTAAATCATATTGCCAATCGCGGCATTGATTTTATTAATATTTTTAACATTGAGAATGTCGCGCATTCGAGCTGCACTTTAGAGTTTCAAAAAACGCGCTTAAACCGATCCCCTCCTTGCCCTTGTAAACGACCAATGAACATGGATTCGACTGAACTCACTTTCCTAATGCACGTGGCCGTTTGACAAGAGTTTAGGATAAGAGTTTAGGAGAATAGGAGTAGATAAGTAGATAAGGTCAAATGGAGCGTTACGAATGTTCATCCCTTACCATCAAAAGCGAGCAGTGTTGGTAAGCGTAGGTAAGCCACCACCGTCAACTGCCGCATGGTATTAGCGTCACGAATACGTGAGCCGCCAATGGCGACTGGTAGATGGTACCGCCATCGCGAGTGCGCGAGCTCCTATCAGAAATTCGTTGCGCCGCCCTTGGGGGCAAAAAACTGTGAAAGCTAACGTACGAAACCAGAGGGCAGCACAGGATGCGATCGCACGATCCTGCCCGTGAGCAATCTCCCAACTCATCTCTGGTAAAAGTCGGCTTTCGCGGGCAATCTAACCTAACTCTGTTTATAATTCTACTGTCCATTTTTTTAAAGAGATCTTTCGAAGAGATATGATTTCTGGCTGGAGGACAGACAGCATTAGTCATAAACATGAGAATAAAACTGAGCACAAGAATTTGCCTTGGTTAGTTTGATATTTAGTCTAATACTGTTTATAGATACATATATATATGTACTGTTCTGTCATTATTAATTTATGATTCACAGGGTTGAAAAATACCGGCCTAGCAAATTGGTTGATCTTATCTCTCACGAAGAGATAATAGACACAAGTAAGAGTTGTTAATTTTCATACGTGTGGAATTCATATTTAATAATACTACGTAACTTTCAGTTAATAAATTCATACGTGTTAATCAACTGCCTCACCTATTATTCTATGGGCCACCTGGAACGGGGAAGACTAGTACGATACTGGCATGCGCCAAACAGTTGTATACTCCGGCACAATTTACCTCGATGGTATTAACTTTTAATAATGAGCAAGCTCATGGCTAGTGATTGTTTATTTATTCTATGGTTATATAGGTTCTAGAATTGAATGCATCCGACGATCGAGGGATCGGTATCGTAAGAGGTCAAATTTTGAGCTTCGCAAGTACGAGGACAATTTTTAACGCCGGCTTTAAGTTGATTATTTTAGACGAAGCCGACGCCATGACAAACGATGCCCAGAATGCATTACGAAGAAGTAAGTAAAAGTATTTGGTATAATGCTTAGTCATATAATAATCATGCCTTATTCTGCAGTAATTGAAAAATACACGGACAATGTGAGGTTTTGCATTATTTGCAATTACCTTAGCAAGATCATTCCAGCATTACAGTCTCGGTGTACTAGGTTTCGATTTGGTCCACTTTCGCCTACTCAGATTCTCCCTAGATTGGATCACATTATACAGAAAGAAAAGTAAATTTTTTATTATCCTGAATATTATAAATACTGTTATGAATTGCATAGATAAGAACGTATCTTTGTAGACTAACCGTGACGGAGGATGGTAAAAATGCATTGATGACTTTGAGTGGCGGGGATATGAGGAAAGTTTTAAATGTTCTTCAAAGTACAGCTCTTGCCTTTGGCACAGTCAATGAACACAATGTTTACACGTGTGTGGGTCACCCGCTTCCATCTGATATAAAAGAGATACTGAATTGGCTACTCAATGAATCGTTTTTAATATCATATTGCAGTATCCTTTTAAGATTCATATCTTATCTTTAAAAGAATACCTGATCTCTCCAATTTAATATTTCCGTATCAACTTTGACTTCAACTATTGAACCTTAACCAAAAAAAAAAATCAGAAATACAAGACATGAAAATAAAGAAGGGATTGGCTCTTCAGGATATTCTTACCGATCTTCATAAGCTAGTGAACCAAAGTATGTATGATCTTCTACCTTTGATGCAAATGTATGTAGAAGTATCAATTTATAAAATGTATTTGGTTCCAGTTGACTTTCCCGACGCCACGCTTATTAAACTGATAATAAAAATGGCCGAAATTGAGAAACGGGTGATTGCCGGTGCTAGCGAAGAAGTCCAATTGAACGCACTTGTCAGTACATTTCAATGCACCCGAGATATCGAGACGCAATAAAACCGTCAGGATCATTCGTGCACTGCAGCCCAGCATTATATGCAATTTTATATGTATGAAATATTGATAAGATACAACCAAGGTCACCTTGGTAATTAATAAAATACGTTTTTATATCGAAAGAGCAACTTCTTTAAAACTAGTCTTCATGACCGTTTATTGGTCGAAAAGTTACACGAATACATCTTGTATGACATAAATAAAATATATGTATCTTACACGGATGAAAGGAAGGGTAAAAGTAACACGATTGCTCCTGCCACACTTTGGTAAATCATTCGTACCAAGAGAAAACAAAAAGATGCGCTTTTCCGACGAAAGGAAAAAAAAAGAGTCGCGCGCTTTTACATTTTTTTTTATGTACACACACAATGTTACCCCGAAAGACCGACCTGCTTCCATGATGACCTAGGTGCGGCAAGTCGAATCGCCGGTAACGGATACCGGCAGAAGGCGAACATCTCTTGCCAACGGAACGCAAAGTTCTTTGATCGACCGGAAACTCCTAACTACTGTCGATTACTTTCTATGGACGGCATTTTGGTACGGATCGTCTTCGGCAAATGAACACTCGATTTCGCTGATCCTGACTTCGCACCGTCTTCATTTCGCCCTTAGCTCGCCTCGACAGGAGGTCTGGCACACTGACAACCATCAAAGACAGTAGGAACGTGTTGTGAAACGGTCGCGTGCATTCGGCATGTTAAAATATTGCCGTATCTTCATATAAGTGCATCTTTTTCAAAGCGTTAAATGCAAGAGAGCACAGTCCTCCTGGAAACGCTCCTACTCGGTCGCCGATCGTGAAGTCATTACAAGCTCCACGCTATGAACTACATCCGTATCTCCTTATTCCTCCTCATTTCTTTTCGAGCTATAAAGCAATTAAGGAAATTTTTGTTGAAGTGCACTTTTGAGTCCAGGCAGTCGTCCCTTAGTTGACGACCCACTGGAGAACGCTGGTGTCGCCTCCGCCGATGGAAACGAGTCGAGTGTCGTCTTGAAGAAAGGAGACGTTCGTTACGTGGCTCGAGTGTCCCCCGTAGACGTGGAACAAGGACTGAAAGAGAAATAAATATGTCGGGTAAAAAAACAAGGCAATAAAGAAATGCAATATACGATAATCATAGTAGGTTGTCATCTGGCACCTTGGGCTGGCAAGCCGGGTACGTGAAGAGCTTGACTTTGCCAAAGTCGTCTCCGGTGGCTAAAAGCTTGCCATCTCCGCTGCGGGTGCAATTATTTATGTCCGTCCCATCAGCACCCTCTGGCCACACGCCAATAGTCTCGAAAGATATGACACATGTATGCGTCGCCCAGTCGGTGTCTCTTAACATCGAGGACTGAGGAATCTGTCGACACACTCCAGGATTCCCTGTACAAAGAAATTAACGCCAGACAAAATTAAAGAAAAACAATTCAACCTAAGGGAGAATGAATACTCACAATAAAGTAACTCGTAGTCTCCACTGTTGCTTCTTAAGCATGTACCATCCACGGACCAGTCCAAGTGCGTTATGAAGCTAGAATGTCCCTGAAACCAGGAAAAAATGCATTGTCATTTTATTTACGATCCGCATACGTATCCTAGGAGGTACGTCAACAGGGGATAATATTCGTGCTGTGGTTTCTACGCTACGGTGCACAGTCCACAACACGTGCATAATTTAACCGTGTTTTAAGAGAATAATGTGGAATAAAGTGTGTCCGACTCTTGATCGAATGTACGAGTCTTACTTCGTGCCTTCGTATCCTCTTTGGCTAGAAACCGAGAGAGAGAGAAGATTAAAATGATTTATCGAGATTATCCGTTGGCACCGTTCTCACACGCCGGAAAGATCCGAGACAAGTAATAGAAATGCCTTAGCTCTTTGCTTACCATGCATCTGCCAACGCGACTGTACTTAGTTGCATCCTCGTTGACTTGATAAATGTATATGTAATTGTCTCTGGAGCCAACCGCGAGCAGAGATCCATCCGGGGAGAATCTAACCACCTATCGAGAAGACATTGATTTATCTCATAAATGGATCAAGAGTTCCTTCGGTATTCTTTCCCTGGATTAGGTTTTCTCACCTGGAGGGCCTCCGAACCATCCGAATGATGGGTGTAAAGTTCTCGAGTCTCGCTGTCTATCGCCAGCCATTTTCCCGAAACGCATCCAACCACCATGATGGCTCCGTCTGGAGAAAAGCAAACGCTCTGCGCTTGTTCCTGTGAAATGAAGGTATCATAAAGCATCCGAACCTCCCTGATAAATAATTATATCATTTGCAGTAGACAATGCTAGTCGAGGAGACCTACCCCAATGTCCTTGCTCCAGACGACGGTATGACTGAGGCTGTCCCACATTTGTAGGAGCCGGTCGTGCCCAGCAGTCGCAAACTGGGGCAAAGTCGGATGCGCAGCCAGACCCCAGACTTCTTCGGCATGACCTAACATAGCTGGATTGAATCCCATCTCCAGATCTCCGACCAGAATGCAATTTCTGGTCGTGCCAACGAGCAGCTGGGATCCCCTGCCCTCGGACACCGTCCTGATACCTCCGAAATGATCTTCGATCTACGAGCGGGTCAATGGAATTTTTATTACGTCTCATTTCTTTTTTTATCTAGTATACATCTTTGTTCTGCTCTTAGAGGTATCTTACCTGAGCTTCTTCTCCAGTTGCGTTAAGGCCCGAATCGAAATACAGAATTCTGCCGTCCTTGCCGCCACCGGTGACGACGTTACCATTCTTCAGCACGCAAATCGAGAAGATGGAGCCCTCGTGAAGGTTCCTCACCAGTCTGGCGATCGTAGTGGTGCCTACACGGAGCGAATCGAAAAGTTCGGATTAAATCCATGGCATCCCATGAATATACGATTTCTTTATCTGAAGGATTGGGTGTACACGCGTCAGCAGTCGCAACACCTCGTGCATAATAAGAAGCTCGTACCTCTGGCCCAAACAATGATGTTCCCATTGCTGTCGCCGGTGAGCACATCGCCGTTTTGGTTGAAGGCCACGCAAGTTACGTATCTCGGCTTGTCCCGGTTCTCGAAGATGCCCATTCGCTTGTAGAGCATCCCGCCGTTGTCGAGGGACCAGAAGGACACGTGGCCCTTTCCGCAGGACACGATCTGGTTTCGTTCCAGCGGATGCCATTCCGCGCAGACCACCGTATCCACCGAGCACTGCAATCGACGTCATCCTCCGTTAAATCGGGCACTTCCGGCCGGGGAAGGACGCCAACCGGACGTTCCCAAAATTCGCGCCGCTCTTTGGCGTCGCCGGTACTTACCTTAGTTTCCGTCACTTTGACGCCTCGGTCGCCCTTCTGCCAGTCCCAGATCGAGATATTATGATCCGCCGTCTCGTCGATGGCGCAGAGGAAGTTCCCTCCGTCGGCTTTGGAGAACGAGAGGCAACAAATCGAACCGTCGAACTCGCCGGTGCCGATCACGCTCAAGGTCGTCAAGCTGACGGAATTCCAGATGCGGATGTGAGGCTGCAACGATTCCTCAATTATTTCCGTCCAAGGAACGAGGAGGGTCGAGGGAGCAAAATCTCGCTCCGGCTTCTCCGGTTGATTGAAAGATACCGGCCGATTTTTAAATACTTCTTGCCGCCACATTAATTGGACAGGATGCGCATCCTGGGCGCTCTCGCCGCGAGAGGGTCCAATTACCAGCCGCAAGAAGCGCCCTCGGGGGGTTGGAAATCTCGTTTCACCTAACTACCGATCCTAATCTTCGATCCGACTCACCATGGAATCCCGCCGATCCGTCCCAGAAACCTGACCGGTCGCTATCACTAGTTTATTTGGATGTATGGCGATGCTGAAACAGGGAAAGGCCCATTTAGAAATCGGAAGAGCCAACCCAGATCGCATCTTCCCCGCGACTCGGCATTTCCGTCGAGGGGAAGACGCGGATAATTATCCATTCTCCACGGTCCAGGCCTACCTCTTGATGTCGTCCGTGTGTCCGAGGTAGTGTCTTTGGCAATGCTCCTCGAGGTTGTAGAGGACGACCACGGCGGCCACGAAGTAGACGATCTCGCCGGTGGGCAGGAGATGGAGATTGCTCCTGCAGTCTCGCCCTCTGTACCCGTATACCCAGTCGAGCTTGAGCTTACTATGGGGCGGGATGCTGACTTTGTGAAGATCGTAGGTCTCCAGGGCGGGGGTCGGGGCGTAGAGGAGGACCGGCCTGCCGCGGAGGTACATGCGGACGGTGCCGTCTTCCTCGTTGTACTGCATGTCTCTGGTGCTGCAACGAGAAGCGCTCATTCTGAACCGTCGAAAAATCAAACCACCGACGAAGTAGCGCAAAAGAAGGTCAAGCTCATCTCGGAAGCATGCACGTAGAGTATTAAACGCGACGCGGCACCTTTCCGGGCGCCATCTTGCTCCGTACCGAGTTCCGAGGAGAGTGGTATTGCCCAAAGCCGAGGAGAACCACTCGGGCGAATTTATCGCCGAGACCCGACACGGGGGCCCGCGGTTGCCGTCCCTCTCGGAAATAATTCCCCGACCTAACCCGGTCCCTCGGACGCCCGGTTAGCATGCAAGTACATTGCACTTGCCCTCCGCGTTGCAACTGGTGTCTCGCCGCGGCACGACTGCGGCCGAGTCACGGAATTACGAGCTTCGACGGTGCCTCCGGCCGTAACGAATTGCGCAACCTCCGCTTTTTCCTCGGCTTCGATTTTTGTTTTTCTCTCTCCTCCTCTCCTTTTCAATTGTGCCCGTCTGCTCCCTCCGTCCTCGCTCTTCCCCAGACAGGAGAAACCTGCGCTCGTTCGCCAGGTAGAGCCCGTCCCTCTCCCTCTCGTTCTCCCTCCGATAACGGCTCCTCTCTCTCTCCGTGACGTCACCTAAACTCGGCGTTTCGCGTCTCCTCGATTTTAAAATCCACGATTCTCTCTCTTCCAGGGCGTCCGCCACCTTCGAGTGAGTCATCTCGGGTCTCGGATACCCTCGTGACGTCACTTCCGGTGGGAACCAGCTGACGAAGGACGGGCATACCCGAAGGAGCACCCGGCCGGTGTACCGGCCTGGCCGATAAACGTTCACGGACACTTTGCACATTTTCCCGCACGCCGTTTCCGGCGCGCTCCGATAACCATCGCTCGGCCGTTTAACGAACGGGAAGCCCTAAGTTAAATTGCGCAACGAATGGGGCGCGATTCGCTTTCTGCGTAGGACTCTCTTTCACTTTCGAGGCGACCGCCACTCGCCGAGCGGGACCGTGGATGTTTTCGATTTCAACGCGGCGGCGCGATATCGAGGGCACTTAAAGGAGGACCCATTACGCGATACGAATTACGAATGCCTCCCTCGAGATCCGATACCTTTACAATTACGAAAAAGAAAACCATATCAAGGAGTCAAGCCTCGCGTTTCGCCGTTCCCGATCGCGTGGGAAAAATTAGTCGTTGCACCGTCAGGAGCCGAGCAGATAAAACAACCGTAAAGTCGGGTAACTTCGGCAAAAAAGGAAATCGGTACGCGAAACGGAACGGTCACGAGATCACCGGTGCCGTTTACGGACACCGTATCCAGCAAACCCGGACGGGGCACGAGGCATTCGAGTTCGCAGGTAATCTCCGGTGCATAGCTGGCTCGGGATTTGCATGCGAGGTCGAAGGTTGGACCGTAGGTCGCGGCCGGCGACGAACCTTCGGTTCGCTTTGCGATCCCCACCGGCAAGTTTACCTTTCCCTCGGCATGTCCAGGAATGCGATATAAAATGGCCGTAAAGCCTCCAGACCTGCAACGACCTTCCAAACCTGTCGAGGGAATCCGACATCGATTCCTTCCACCCCAGGCTCGAGCTCGGAACGGTTATTATCAAGAAACACTGTAAATACGCAGGGGCAATTGCCGGAAAAAATTAAAAAAAATTAAACCGACTCACTTCATCATTTCGGCGACACCCATCTTCGGGTCTGGTACCACTAAGAGGGACTACGCGGTGCTGTACAACGTGCCGTGCGCCGAATGAATGACGTGCATAGAAAAAGCGGTCACGGACCGACCGGTGCGGGTGCAGAAACGCGAAAGAGAGACGCAAGAAGGAGAGAAAAGAATTATTTACCCGTGTTTGACGTTGCTCAGCGCCTGAGGCTTGAAGAGGTTGAACAGGGACTTGGTGGAGGCCGACAATCTACAATGAATGAGACGAATGCAAAACGAAAACCATGCGGTGCAGATCAACAGAAGAAAAAAAAAAAAGGGAAAAGAAACACAACGATCAAACACTCGAGGGCCAGGAAGACGTCCACCTCGCCGGGTCCGAATGACGCCCCGACGACGACGATTGAGCGTTTCCGCGACGAATCGCCGTCATCCGGCACCGTGTCCAGCCGATTGGACGAGAATGTCTGCATCCGGCTGCAGTTTCCTTTGTCCGAGGACGCGGCGGCGAGGAGTGCGTGATCCTGGCACGATCGATCAAGCGCAACAAGAAGCATCGAGTCTAAGGTGAGCAGAGGAGAAGGAGGAAGGTAGGAACCGGGGATGGGGAAGAACGAGGTGCTCTTCGGGGACCGGCGAGATGGGTTGGCGGAAAGGAACGGACAGGTGGTCGATGAGCTTCCTCGGTACGAGGACTACGTCTGGCTCGAAAGCAGGGACCAAGGTCCAGGATCTCCGGCAAAGGGAGCCAGGAACACCAATGTATCTCGCGCGTGTTCTTAAACGTCGTCTCCGGGGCCTCGATCCTCCGACCTACCTAGAGCCGACCAATTGCGAGTTACCGCCGGCCGATTGCGGGGAATGCGTGAAGTCCCCGGTGGACGACCATCTCTTCGCCCTGCGGAGACTGCTCTGCGGTGGTCCGTTGGTCCTCGCGGTCGGTGACCTGGGACGATAGGAGAACCTTCAAACCCGGTCTCGACGAATCCTCTCGATCCGCCGATTAACATTTCTTAACGTTCTCGAGCCACGCAAGGACGCAACGCTTCCGCTTGGCCGCACTCCGTTGCCCGTTGCGAGATTAGATAGGATTTTGTGTCATTCCGTGACATCACTCTTATTGTCGATTATCACGCAGTCGTCGCGGTTGTACGGCGCGAAGAATGTCGCGCAATCGTCGCATCTCGTCGCACCGAGCACGTTGCGGAAAGGTTGCGTCCCCGAAAATCCGTAAGATACGTAAAGACTGATCGTCACCTCGTGACGGGTAGTGGCGTCGCCCTGGGACTGGGGGACGGTACCGGGGAGACGCTGCTGCTGCTAGGGCTGTCCGAGTGCAGGGAACCCGTCGACTGGTAGTGGACCGATCTTCTGAAAGATATCAACGACGTCTACGTTATTTTATCCCTTTGGTTAAATTTAGATCGGTCGAGGTAGACCCTCGAGACTATCGGTGAATAATGTATATACATACCGATCGACGGATCTCTGAGGTAGTTGAGAGGGTGGAGTATAACTTATCGGCCTCCTGGGACTGGAATTCGCATCTCTAACGTCCTGGGTAGATCCGGCGGAGGAATTCCTGAAGCCGGTGGTCCCCGTCTGCCGCAGACGCAGGTCCTTCTGCGATCCGGGGCTTTGTGGGTCTGCAAACCGAATCCAGGTGTCCGCACATAAAGGTCCAGGGCAACCGATCGTCATTTTATTATTCCTGGATTTATATTCATCCTCGTAGCCTGCCCCCGTGTTAAAATTACCCGCGCGACCGTCCACCTCCACCGGAGGAGCCCCCGTAACGCGGCTCCCGGAGAAAAGAGAATAATCCCTGAATTTACGTCCATTATGCAAATTCTCCATTCGGGATGCCGTCGGGATCTCGGGTTTTCCAGATCCCTTATCAAGAATTATTATCGCCGTATCGATTCGGGAATAACGAGCCCGCGGCGCCATTATTCATCCGTAACGCGATCGATTTATCCGACCTTAATTAGTTCCATGGCCCGGCTCCGTAGAGCCGTTTAACGCGAGCAGGAACCGTTTAAAAGGCGGGATCCGGAGGCGCATCTTCCCGTCCGGGAATAACGAAGGCGATAAATAAATTCGGGAATAACTCCCCGTGCGCGAATCCGTCCTCGATCTCGACCTCCCTCCTCGTGGTCCTTCTTCCCGGGCGATGGATCTTGCCCGAGGAAAAGGGAACGCGTCCTTAACCCCATCGCGTGCGAACCCCCCGAGCCAGTCTTTAACCTCTTAACCTTCGGTTCAAACGGGCTCGACCTGGCATCGGCGTTGGCGAGGCTTCCTCCTCGTGCACCCGGTGGAGCGATAAGTCGACTCGCGATATCTCTCCCCGAGGTGTTACCCGCCAACTCGAGGGCGCCTCTCCTCACCTCGAGCGCGCGTCAACGGGGTGGAAAACTCAGAGTAGAAAATTAAATGCCCCCCCTATCCGTCCGCGGAACGGAAAAGGATCGTAGATCCTCGAGTAAATCGGCCATCGGCGAGAATGCCTCGGGACTTACTTCTGAGCTGTACGTGACCATTCCTCATGGGCGACGAGGCCGCTCTCTCGGTCCTCCTCTCGTTCCTCTCGTCCTCCCTTTTCTCGCGGCCCTCTAGCTGGGCGATCCGCCTGAGAGCGTCGGCCAGTGTGGCCCGAAGACAAACGATCTCGTCCCTCTGCGCCAGGGACTGCCTCTCCAGGTCGGCGACTCGCCCCAGCAGCGAGCCGGTCTCGCACTCCAGCATCTCATCTGCGAAACCAACGTCTCCAATTAGTACTCTCTCCCTCTTTGCCTCTCCGACTCTACTCCACCCGCACAAAAAATCCAGGGCAAGCCGGTGTAAAGAAAAAAAAAAAAAATAAAAAAAAATTAACCACGATCGATTCGCCGCGGAATACTCAATATTCGAGTACTCGACGGTTCTCGTTGAAATTCTGATTGGATAGTTATCGGTCGCTCTTATCAAGTGTCAAGGGTTCTTGGTGAGTAGTGCAGGGTGACATATGGAGAACGCGGGTCAGAGCATCCCGAAAACGGGCTGAGAGAGTTGTGGACCCCTTAAAAAATCATCAAACCCTGTATCTCCTTTGAAAAAAAAATCCCAAACCCTCGCTCGATAAACTAACTCGAAGGGAAGAACCTTCCCAGTAGAGCCGAAGTGATGGCAGGTGGGAAAAAAAAATTCGTAGAGAGACGTAGGGAGTTTGGCGATGTCCCCAATAATCTACATACGTCTCGCGGTTTTATTCACGACTCCACCCACAGTCGAGGGGACATCATGGCAGTCTACTTTACATGGGTTTTTAAACAAAAAGAGAAAAGAAAAAAAAAAAGTTCTCATGCACGTCCCGCCGACTCACGATACTCACGCCACGCTTGCTCCGCTTCGTTAATGGTGTCCATCGTGTCTGGCGTGGACATTGCGATTAACCTCCCGCGATGACCCCGGAGTATTAATAAATTATTCAATCGTGCCGATTACCGGTCGCAAACAGAGGCGGGAGCACGCCCGCCGCCATCCCCTGGTCCCGGAATTAATCTCCCTTAATTGCCCCGCAATCTCCCGATATCGTTGATCCTTTCTCACGCGGGGAACGAATCCGCACTACGCGGTTTATCGCCGGCGACGAGTTTCGCGGCCATCGGAGGGCGTCTTCGTCGCCGTCACGTGACGCGGATAAACAAGCCGACTTCTGCCCCCCTCTCTCTCTTCTCCTTAGTTTTGAAACGCCTCGAAAAACGCGTCCTCTCGAAGGCTGACGACGGGGAATTTTTTGCCAAAAGTGGTTAAAGGAGGTAGTGATTTTCCTGAGAAAATTTTTAATATCGTTCCCTTCGCAAAACCAGGCTCGAGAGCGCGACCGTTCCGGACCGGAGAGGAAGCGGAGGAGACCCCACGCGAAACGCGGCTACTCTGACACTGATCTTCCGATGCGCCGGTACCGGGCGAAATCGCGCGTGGCCGCGTCCTTCGCGGTTATTATTAGACCCGCCAGGGAAAAATTCGAAAGTCGGGAAATTCGCCGGGGGAAAAGAACCGCGAACGAGGTGCTCGGCTCGAGTGGCGTGCGAGCACTGAGAGAGGAGTCGCCGCGGCGAGCGACTCGCGCGCGCCTTTTGACGCGGGCTTATGTAACGCCCTGTACACCAGCTGGAAATATATTTTGGGTCGCAACCGTAGCCGAGAACAAGGATATCCTCGAAAACCCTCCGGGTGTGGGTAGCTTTTCCTTCCAGGGAGTCCCGAAAAGTCCGTTCCCCCTTCGGCACCTTCAACTCGAGCCGGGCCATCGACCACCACGTGGCAGGGCGGACGTCTCGATTCCGCACATCTCTACTCTACGGTGCCGAGATAACGATCCCCCCCAGGAAATCCAAAAAAGTAAAAGATCGAAAATCCTAAACATCCTCCATGGGGGGTCGAGCGACCTCGTGGTCGAGCACACGTGCCAGGACGCCAGGCGCACCTCGTCGGTGAAATCTCACGCGAAAGGGGGACTCCCCGGGAGCCTTCCTCGAGGGATCCTCTCATACCGTACAAGAAAGACAAATCGAAGGCAATCCCCACGTGGAGTCGAATCCGCGCGTCCTCGAGCGTCTCTACGCTCGACGCCCGCGAGGGACGCTACGCATCTCCCGATCGGTTTCTAAACGACGCTAATCGGCTGCACCGGGTTATCGGTCGGCACTTTTGCGGACTTCTCTCAGCCGGAAGGCGGAAAAGCCGCGGTCGATCGGACGTGCAGGGGAGATATCCCCTTTGCGAACGCGCACGACGGCCCGGAGAGGTCCAGTTTCCGCGGAGATGGCTCGACCGGTCGGCGGCACGTGTGTTCTCCCCTCGGCCGCCCTAACGATACTGTTAGAACCGACTCCAGCTGCGCTCGGCCGCGATCAATACGCGCTAGATGCTTCAGATGCTTCAGATGATCCAGATGAAACTTGCCGCGCGGCCCCCTCGGACGCGCCGATTATCTGCCCGGAGATAACGGAAGAGAGAGAGAGGATCCCGGAAACCGACACGGTCATTTTTTTACTTCCTGATGATATCATCGATCCCATTGAAATTCTTACCGGGCGGTGGGACACTAGGACACTGGGACGAATTTTTGGCTCGATCGTCTTAACATTTCTCCCGATTAACCGCACTTCATGCCGCCGCGAAGGTTAACAAGGGGGACTTTCGATCTCGATTCGGCAGGAAAAACGGAGCGTTGCCGCAAATCCCGATTTTAGAAAGCGATTTATGCGGAATCGCGACTTTCCCCTCGAGACGTCGACCGGGTGGAGGACCGACCACGTCGGCATCGATCGCGGTCCCGGAGTTCCTTCGAGCGGGGCGGATCGATCTCTCGTCGAAACTCCCGCAACCGAGTCACGCACGATTGGCCTTCCATTTCCATTATTGCCGAGGTATATACGGATGGATCTCATATCCGCCTCGATAACAGAAAGCGATCGGGCCCTCAAGGACAGCCCCGTAGAGCGAATATCCCGATTTCCTCGTTAACTCGAGGCACCCTTTCGCGATCCCTCGAGGGGTCTTATCGATCTCCTCGGGCTTCAATTTTTTTTTTTTCACGAACCTCCATGTGCTCGAAACAGGCAAAAAAATTGGTAAAACCTGAAAAAGTGATCGACTCGGTCCTTGAGCCCTTCCCAAAGTTGAAAAGACCTCCCCGAAGGGGGCAAAGAATTCACGGTGGAATGCGCAACCGCCGAGCGTAACCGCGCAAAGATCTCGGCCTGCTTTGTTCCTACGCGCTTGATTCATCGTAAATTTTTTTTTCCCCTCCCGCCCCCTCTTTCCCCGCCATCGGTCACCCTCCCTTGATTTTTTCCGCCGGCGGGTTCGAAGCTTTGTTGCATGCCAACCGTGTCGCTTTGAATGGTCCGGGGGTTAACGTACGCTCAAAGACGGATAGGCAACCCTTCCCTTTGTGCGCCTATCGAAAATCGATAGCCAAGGTGAATCGCTGATTGCGACGTCGCCGAGGCACCGATAACTCGAGAGAGGCTCGGTGCAAGGCGACTCGAAGGTTTGGTACTATCGAATGAGTGCAGGGGTGTAAACTGGAGCTCTACGAGTTTCTACAAATCTATCTACAAAGATTCGCCAAGTTTCACCTGCACGTACCTTTAAGCAATCGCTTGTACAGGTCCTTACTGCACATCCAGTTGCGCAAAGGCCCCCTCTTAATGGGACACCTCTTCGGCGCCGAAGCTACAAACACGCACAATCGCACACCTTAATTGTCGCGATTTCTAGCCGTCTCGTTATTTCTCGCGGGAAAAATCGGCGCCCGAGGTTACCCTAGAAAAGGCGACCGAGATCCTAGGACATATCTCGTAGGCGTAGTCAGATATGGGTGTTGCCCAATCGGCATTACGTGGTTCCTAATAGCGCCATTAGTCCGGACCGATGCACGCAAGTGGGATGGTCTCATCCCGGGTCGAAAAGGAATAACCAGAGGCACACGTCTCGTTACCATAAATTCGTGGGCGAGGACGCTTGGGTTACCGAATGGCCCGTGACCGTCTTCCTTACGTCGCGACGTCCACTCCGAGGGTCCTCGTTCCAAGGACTCTCCTCTCCTGAGCGTTTATGAATATACACCGATCGGCGCTCCACTACGACAATCGCGATCGAATATTTTCAGACCGGTTGACGACGCGTAGTCACGAGGGAAGATGACCACGTTGCTGGAATTTTGCAAAACGTCGGCGAACCGTTAAATGACCAGCAACGCCGGGAGCAATTAATATTAATGAAAGGACAGGATGAGATTGGCGCACCTCGGTAACGTCACCGTACCACCTTGAATGGCTTACATAATGACCGCCAGAGTGTACGGCGGCATTATTCCGCGCGTACTTGTACCCCGTTCGGGAAAAAATGCTCGTCCTTAAGTCCGGCCGAAACAATAGAATCCTTCGACCAATTCTCAACTCGGGGGTTCGAGCTACTAGCTAAACTAAATTATATGTTTATTTAAAAATGAGAATAGATATGTGCCCATAATTATGAAAGTGGTCTAAGTCATATATTTTTTGTTTTTATTACATTGAATTAATTTCGTTTGAAATAATATGGCGTGAAATAACTGATAAACTCATTTTTTTTTTTTTTTAATTTTGACTTAGACCACTTTCATAATTATGAGCACATATGTCAAAGCGACCAGCGGCGGCTCGAAATCGATGTTCCCTCTCACCGTTTATAGGGGAATAACGACTCCACGGTTAAGTCGCAACCCAGGCGCAATCGCGTCTCCTTATTCCCTGCAATTATGTTCCCTGCCTTGCGCGGAATACCAGGCGACGGTCTTAAGGTTCAATGTCACCGTCGTAAAACTGCTATACCCGGGGCGTAGCACCTTCGCCGGTACACAAGTTGTATGCTCGCCCACCGGACAATTAACCAGGAGCTGCGACACCGTCCTCTCCCATCGGCACCCCCGCTAGAATTAGTGACCAAACCTCGCGCGATGACAATTTTATCGTAATCGCAGAACGCCACGGCGAGGACAATACCCGCGTCCCACGCCCGCGAGGAAACCGTTCCAGAGCGGAGGATCGGAGATAATCGAGGTTAATGACTCGACACCTGGTCCATATATCCCGGCGCCATAACGCCCCTTTAAAAGTATATTCCGATGGCGCGAGAAGGGCTTAATCGCTTAATTCGAGTAATCGTCGCAAAAGCACTTACCCATTTCTTGAGCGGAGGTCTGGGGGCGGTACCCGTTCACGCGCATCGTCGTTCGCTGATTTTCCTTCTACTCATTTCCCGCTTGGCCGATGAGGAGAAGATTCCGCTAATCCCTGGAATTTGAGAATCAATAGTTAAAAAAGACCGAAGAAAATCCTAACCGCGATACGACGCGTTCTTTCCCTCCTAAAGCCGAGGTTCATAAGTCGCAGCCGAGTCGAGGGCGTTTTGAAGTTCGCCGCCGCGCCGTTGCGACACCTCTTGTTTTTTTTCCCCTTTTTTCCCTCGGCAACGCGATACGTCCGTTTCAAGGAGAGTAAACAAGCGGGACAGTTCGATCCAGGATGGGTTACGGCATCGGGGAGTCGACTTTCATTCCCAGAGACGCGAGAAAGGCGAAAAGAATGCCCCTCGCAGGAACCGGGCGACCGCGACTCGTGTCACGGCGCTGGCCGGCGAGCGCGCGGAGGTCGCGCCGCGGAAAAAATCCGAACTACCGGCTCGGGGCTTCGATTTCGCCGATCCGCTCCCTACGGGGAAACCGATATTTGTGAGATTCGAATTCCCGTTCCCATTCTACCTCCCGAGGTACGCCGGGTTGTCCTCGAGGGAAAAGGGGAGGCGACGGGATTTCCAGGATTTCCCTCACGACTCGATCCCTCGAGGGTCCGATTTCGCCGCGAGAGGCGCCACGGTCGGCGCCGTCCCATGTGAAACAAAACCAGTAGGCATTGACCCGCGCAGAATGTTACCATATCGGTGCGAGCGCACCGGCCGCGATTTATTTTTACGGGTATCGCAATACTCGGCCACCGGTGGACGTTCGCGCGCCATATAGGAGCCTATTACCGACACGGCCGGATAATTGGCCCCTCCGTCGTCCCTCCCCGCCCGAAGTGGTCGGTCCTTGCGGAGGCACGCTCTCGAGGAGTCGCCGATCGGAGGCCTTCGCAAAAAAGGTCGGATCGAAAAATGGACATTAGCATGCCGGTGAAAGTTCCTAAGCGATCCGCGGTCTCGGCGGTCCCTCATGCTTCGGGTTTTCCCACAGGAGGCGGGACACCGATACCATCGACCACCCGATGACTTATTCCCCTCTCCTGGGGAATGGCTAACCCTCGGTTGAACTTTTC